TCTTCGGTATTTTGGTTCTGTTTCACGTTACTTATTCAACTATCCAAGTGTATTTTATAACTTATTCTAGTTATTGTTTTACTTTTTATTACTAGTTTGAATGTTAGGGCTCGTCGATCTGAAATTGGGTTTGATTTACATTGCAGACACGGGTCGGTTGAAGATTAGGGAAAGGAATTTTCAAGGCCTCCATTTAACGTAATTTGATTAACACTGCAACCTAGAGTTTTCATTTCATATGATGTTTCTAATGTTTTTGGGAATAATGCGAGTGGTGATTGAGCTGGTTGTTGAACTGCTACTTTGATTTTGGGTTGCGCGCACTTGTGCCGGGAAGTTCCAGTCCATAACAGGTAAATAAAGTAATGCTAGAATGAACGTAACTCATTGTGAAATATTAACTCTTCTTTCTATGTTCTTGTTTGGACAAGATGTATCCGAGTTACAAGTTATGCTCATACGAAACTAAATTGAGTGGAGTGCGTGCGTTTCAACCAAAGGTAGCAGCTAGATATTTAAGTGACTTTACGTGAAACAATAATTTAATCCATTATTTATCTCATTACTTCCATTCCTTCATCTTTTAATGTATTTTGTAATGTTAAAATTTTATGAGTATAACATTTTGTTTAATTATGTTCACTAGTTAACGAGATTCTAAAAGAAATCTCTTTTTCCCTACTCCAAATAATTTCCTTTAAGATAAATTTCTTAATTATTTTTATTTCATAGAGGTATTATTTTTAGTTGCAGGAGGAAAATATACAAAAGAAGCAGGTAATTTGATTATGGTAAAAGATATTATTTTAGGCAATAATGCGGTATGTCATTTTCAAAGGTTGCATGTTCTTCCAATCTTTATGTCTTCTTTGTTTTTAATTGAGGGGAACATCAAACACTTATCATTTGATCATGAACTAGCACATGGTAGCTTGTGATCATAGCTTAAGTTTGCATATTTGAATCTATCGAGCATTATTAATATGGAATTTGAAGAAAGAAAATTATGGGGATGAGGTAGATACATGGAAGAGTATTTACCAATACCTTCTTTCCATTATTTTGTTTGATCACAATTTTTGACAAGACCCCAAATCTTGAGTTAACCTAAGTTGCAAGTGCATAGATCATCCAAAAAACAGTTACAAAATAGAACAAAGTTAGGTCTTTCTCCGTAGTAATAGGAAATTGGTTCTAATATATGATATAATGACCCTGGCCCTCTAGGGTTCAAGAATTGTTTTATTTTGAGTGATATATTTCTCTTGAAATTTGCTTCCTGATTTTTGTTGTATGTGATTAGTCATTAGTTAGCTTTCTTTATATTCTTAATACCTCTTAACCTTTTAGATTTTGGTTTTTCTAAAGAGAGTGAGGATAGAAAAAATTATCTAAGTCATTGATAAAAACTCCACAGATGCATCAATATCTAATTTTTTATCATGAGTTTTCTCACTTATAACTTTATGCCTTCTAAAGTGAGTTGTTAAAGGAATTACATCATAAGCTTTTAGATGAATTGGTCTATGTCTATATAAAAATATTTATAGGAGGATAATACTTTCACATCTTCCACTTTCATTCTACTACCGTTGATAACAACATTTTTTTCTGTAGGTTTATTAAGAAAAAACTAATAAATAGATGCAAGATAAATAGTAATTTTGGAAGATAATATGGTCCTTGGGCCTCAGACCTGTACTATATATATTTACAAAAGTAATAAATAGGTTTATTTAGATAAAACTAATAATTCTTGCATGGATTATTTGCAAGACACAAGAAACTAACAAATATATGTACTTTTGGAAGATAATATGGTTTGTGGCCCTCAGACCTGTACTATATATGAGCACATGTTTGCTTTTCTATTCAATAAAGATTTCTCTTGTTCATAGTTATTCCCGCTTCACTTATGTGCTATAGTTTCTAGCATTGATCAATCCTAATATTTATGTGTCATTAAAATCTAGAGCCTTGAAATTTTTGCATAAAAAATAGATTTATAACAAGAATTTTATGCATATTTTCCCTATTTAAAGAGTAATATAAAATTCTCTTTGTGGTTTTCTAGAAAATCTCTTGCAAATAAAACAATGTGTTAGGGTTTGATAATTTCAATTTTTCATCCCCATCTTCAAGAGCATATTTGACTTGACTCAGTCATTTTTGCACTAAGGATCTACAAGCTTTAATTAATAATGCTTACCCGACATGTTTATGGAACAAGTGGTGGCCTTGTTTGAAGTATTACTAATTAGAATGCGTTTGAAAAACATGGAACAATACTGCGTTTCCCATTTGACATAAACCAATTATATTCTATATTGTTTATAAGAATTACCTTTCTTGATCACTCCTTTTATAATATATGGTTATAATTTGTAACATTGATGTTTCTTTTTAGGTTATTGTTTTGGTAAGAGTTTGTGAAGACCTTTAAATCTCGTATATGAAGTTTACGGGTAAGAATAATTTTAATTTCTTGTTCAAAATAGTTATATGTGTATTATATATATATATATATATATATATATATATATATATATAATAATTTTAGGCATTTTCGACTCAATCTAATAATGGACATATCTGAGCATCGAGCATGGATGTATAATAGGCTTCTTCTTGGTTGTGAGACATATACAAATGAATTTTTAAGTGGCTTTGATGAGTTTATGGACATATCTGAGCATCGAGCATGGATGTATAATAGGCTTCTTCTTGGTTGTGAGACATATACAAATGAATTTTTAAGTGGCTTTGATGAGTTTATGACTTTTGCTTGTCAACGACCAAGTTTTTTTATTGAAGGAAAAATAAGGTGTTTATGTAAGGAATGTAAAAATAAGAGGTTTTTAATCCCATATGAAGTAAATGTTTACCTTCTCCGAAAAGGATTTACATTTGAGTATTGGTATTGGACATCTCATAGAGAAAAAATCCCTCATACTAATGTTGATATGCATTCAATACTAAGAATCAAGTAGCAGCCTTATTGCAACACTTAGGGTTTGTTGTATCTTATTCCTACCCATCTTCATCATCTCAACATAACAATGAAAATGATGATGATGAAGATGGTGATCATATTGAAGATGATAATATTTAAAATTTTATTCTTGAGTTATTATAACACTTAACTGAATAATGAAATTGTAGGGAATTAAAAATATGATGTGATTTTGAAAACAACAATGATTTGCTTTGATGCTTTTTTTTTACAAGGTTTTAAAGTTTTTAATTATTTATATTGTTTTAAATAATGATATTGTTTGCAGAGAATTTGATGAATTTTTCATGTCGGGTGTTGCATCATTTTTGTTTTGTAACTTTTCCTCGATGTTGCTATTCTCAAATTAATACGGACCAAATTGTTTGTTCAACAATGGAGAACGTATAATTATTTTGAATACCTAAGAACTCAACAATGCAAATGAATAAGGTTTTTCGTATAAATAAATCTCATGTTTTAAGACAATCTTATGTTTTCGAACATTGATAATTTCATTTCATGTATTTGTGATAATTACATTCATATAATAATATTTTACTTTGTTTATGTTTTGTCTTATAATTCATAGGGATCTGTTGTTGTAAGACTAAATAATTCTCTTAAAAAAAACATTTCATGTTAATTTTGCTTTTAACTTAGTTTTTTAGTCAAATAAACAAACAAATTTTCTTTTATAATCATTTAATTCTGTAATAAAATAAAATAAAATATATAATAAAGATTTTTTTTGTCAATTTCATATATATATATATATATAATTTTAAATTTATACAAAATTTCTTGTAAATTTTCTTAAAAAAATAACTTCATAAGAAATTACCTGCGAATTTAAAATTAACAAGAAATTTCCTGCAAATCTAAAATTACCAAAAAATTATTTGTAAATTTAAAATTACTTCTAAATTTGAAATTGGTCAAGATTTACATGCAAATTTAAAATTGGTAAGAAATCACCTATAGATTTAAATGGCCAGAAATTACATGCAAATTTAAATTACAAGAAATTATATGCAAATTTAAATTTGTAAAAAATTACTTACAAATTTTTTCATAAAAAATTTTGTAGAAAATTGTTGTGAATATTAAATTTTTGGATAATTTATTATCCACGGAGTAATTACATACTAATAAAAATTTGTATGAAAATTCACAATAAACTAATTTTTTGTGAAATTTTACAAAAATTTGGTAAAAAAAAATCTCATAAAAATTAAAAATTTCTAGTAATGAGAGTGAGTCCGATAGATTGTTGTCCTTAATGGCTGGTTTCAGGATATGTACGATGTACCTGCAAAAGTCACTCTCGTGTTAGAGTAAGTAATATGTATGTCAAATGTTCAATATCACATTTATACCTTCAACCTTTTACCTATTTATAATATTGTATATGGATGTTCTCATATGCCTTAGCCTCAAGGTTTTCTCAACTTGACCGTACGCGCATGCTATATAATGTACGCGTAATACTACATTGGCATTCCGTCTCTACCCAATACTGTATTGGTGTTCCATCTCTACACAGTATCCTTAATGCAGATTGTGTCTGTGATAAGTGTTGCACGCCTACAGTACTTGAGGTCGTATACTTAATGTGTACTTACGGTACACTTATAATCACATTTATATATATGTATAAAAAAATATAATATATTAAGTTTGTAGACTTTTTTTTAAGCTATTTATTTCCAATTTTCCAATTTCTTATCAAATGTGATGAAATAATAAAGTAAAACACTATGCGAACTATTTTTTTTTCTTTAGTTGTTAAGTTTTTAAATTTTTAAATCAAAATTATTTTTCAGTTTTTAGTTTTTCATTTTTAAAAACTTGTCATCAATTTTATAGTTTTTCTCTAGGGTTTACTAAAAATACGCGAGACTTTTCAAACGTAACTGTGGCGAAAAAACCTAAAGTGATAGAAGAACGAGCTAGAAAAACTCAAAAGTCATACATTTTATCCATGGGTTTGAGTGGGATTAATCACATGATAAATTCGGATAACGACCTATGTTAGATGGACCAAAAACTCTTTGGGCTTTCAAAATTAGGTCTAAGCTCTGTACAAGCTTCCATGGACTGCTCCAAAATTTGTGCTATATGATCAAATTAAGTTAAAAAGAGGTACACATTTAATTTGTATTCAAAATTTAGATTGCAAACACTAAATTTTCATCGGACGAGTTTGAATTAAATACGATTGGTTCACTTTGACATCTAGTCATAACTATAATTGGTTGAGAAAAAAGAAAGATTAAATATAACACTA